CGGCACTCCAGTCTGGGCGACCGAGTGAGACTCCAACTCAAAAAAAAAAAAGAAATTCTCACCTGGAAGGCTGTGGCCTTGGAGGCACCCACACCGGCCTTCCATCGTGATCTTTTGACCCGCCCACCCTCACCAGCCTGGAGCCACCCTCATCCCTGCCTGCTTGGCCAGGCTGTGAGGGCAAGGAGCCAGGGTGCCCAGCCCAGAGGCTTAGCCTGGGCCCAGCTGGGCCGGCAGGGCCAGGATGTGCCAGAATCTGTCACTCTGGGCCAGACTCAGAGATGCCGTCACGTCCTGCTTAACTCCCAGTCTGATGGAGGAGGCACAGATGGCCCTGACCCTGTCTGATGGGGGAGGCACAGATGGCCCTGACCCTGTCTGATGGGGGAGGCACAGATGGGCCAGACTTAGTCTGACGGGGAGGCACAGACAGCCCTGATCCAGGCTGATGAGGAGGACCCTGGCCCTGACCTCGTCTGACTGGCAGGCGCACGAGGGAGTAGAAGCAGCAGAAGACCCTGGGGATCCGTGGGGGTGGGTTTAGAAACTCTCCTTTCTCCTCCTAGTGGGACCTTGGGCAAGTTATGGAAGCCCGTGAGCCTGTTTCCTTTGTGAGGAACTGGGATGTCGCCATCGACTCCATGGGGGTTTGGGGTTTCCTTGGGATAAAATGCTACAGCTGCAGCTCAGAGCTCGGCACCCAGCCTGAGGCCTTGGGCAAGACCCTCTCTCTTTCCGAGCCTCAGTGTCCCCATGGGTGCCACGAGGGGGGGTCTGTGTGTTCAGACCCATCATGGGCGCCGGAATCACTTCTTCTAACGGCATCTTTCTCCAAAGCCCTGAAAGTAATGAAACCAGCGCTGCGAGGGCTGCATCCCCACCCCACCCAGCCTGTGGGCCCCACCTGCCCTGCTTCTGGCCGGGACCACCTGGCAGACCCTTCCAGGGCCGCTGCCCCGGCCCCAGCCTGTGGCCCCCCGCGTGCAAAGCTCTTGTTCCTGCACCCACAGCCTCTAGCGCACAACCCGGGTGACAAATGAGCCACAGAGTCGCCACCCCCAGGTCTCACCGACCATGTGGCAGCATCCGCGGCGAGACGGAGTCACTCGGCCTCTCTGGGTCTCAGCTTCTCCGTGCGTAAAGCAGGACAACTGTCAGGAGGGCTAAGCACGGCAAATGCTCCGTCAGGGTCTCCATAGACGGTTGCTCAGGTTGTTCACAGTGGCGCCTATGTGGTGCCCTCATCTGTGATGCCATTCCTTGGCTCTCTGAAACCGCCTTGCACTTTCTTCAAGTGGGCCCGGCCCTCACCGTGGAGCGGAAGTGGAAAGGGAGCTCCCACCGCCGTCCCCCTCTGCAGAGGCCAAGGGACGTCCCCCTGTCCCCAGCCCCCAGTCCCTGCCCAGCACCCGTCTCTGTGGGGCCCGCTCCACCTGCCTCTCTCCCTGCCCTGTGTGTGCTTCTTCCAGGCACGGACCCGGAGGAGACGATCCTCCACGCCTTCAAGGTGTTCGACACCGAAGGGAAAGGTTTCGTGAAGGCGGACGTGTAAGTCCAGCCCAGCCAGCCGTCGCCCCGTCCCTTCCCCTCTCTGGGCCGCGGCGGCCCCGTCCCCACGGGTGTGTGGACCTGGAAGTGGATGGGAGAGTGGACGGGCTCGCGTGGGAGGGCTTCCCAGGAGTGGAGCCGGGGGTGGGCGCCCAAGCGGGCCTTGCAGGATGACGGAAGGAGGGCCAGGCTGGGGCGGGAGCAGCATTCTAGGGGTGGGAACAGAGCGAGAAAAAGGCCAGGGCCGGTGGGCACGTGGAGGGGAGGAGTCGGCTGCAGCTGGAGCACACAGGTGGAGGTGAGCGGGGAGATGGACCCCTGAGAGCTGGGTGAGGCCCACACGGGGCGGCTCACACACCAGCCCCTGGGCCCAGGTCTGCCTGGGGAGTGTGGGTGAGCCCGAGAAGGAGTTAGGCGGGGACAACACGGAGGCCAGCCTGGAGGAGGAGAGGAGAGGGTTACGGCTCTTAGGAGAGCCATGGCCACTGGGGTGGAGAGGAATGGATGGCTAAGTGAAGAGCAGAGGCCAGCACCCATGGAGCCCAGGGTCTGGGGAGAGCACCAAGCCAGAGGTCAGCCAGAGCCCAAGCGGATGCCCGGATGGGGTCAGGGCCACTGCCTCTGGTGCCGGGTTGGGGGAGGTCAGTGACCAGCTCAGCTTGGGATGCCTGAGGGGAGGTGGCCGTGGACAGCTGTCGGGTGCGCTCCTGGGCTGCCGTCGGGGTGAGGGTGGCGGCGTCGGGGGTGCCCCGGGGTAGCAGGCAGGGGCGGGTGGGTCAGTGGCGACCTGGATGCTGGACTGACCTCTGAGCGGCCCGGGAGTCCTTCAGCGCTTCGCTGGCCCCGGGGTGGCCCCGGGCAGGTGAGGTCTGCCCCGCCGGCATAGGCTTCCTGCCGGTGGCCGTGATGCTCAGGCCTTCGGGTCTGGAGGCCAATTGCTGCCTGCTGCAGGCCTTCCATAGGGGGTGGGGTGAAAGAGAACAGGTGAGACGGGGGCGGGGGGG